CGCATCTTCGCACGGGCAGCCCGTGCGTTGGCCAATTATTACAACTGATTCGTTTTATCTCATCTCATCGTGTTTGTTCGAGCTTTGGTACTCGCCCAAAAAAGTAATGGAGCGCAAAAATTTTTTGCAGAAGCAAATGCTTTCTGGTGGATTTTGTATTTAGTGAAAAAGAAAATAAGGATTGCCCAGGTTTTAAAAGCATTTTCTTTCTATTCTTTCTGCAACGAAAAGATACTTCAGTACGTCCTTTGTGCTGAGCTGCACTTGTTCACTGATTAGGGTCAGATCTCGGAGACAATCTTGCAGCTCTTTAAAATTTTTGCAGGAGCTTCTCTGATGAAGAGGACAGTAGCGATGCGGAACGGAAAGCACGAGAATTTGCGCCTTATTCCAAAAAGGAATATTGATGCGTGGCTTGGAGGCAAAAATGTATACATTATAATGCACTTATTTACAGATTTGCTATTGCATTGACATTTCAGTATTACGTGTGTTTTGAGTATCTGCATTTTCAGAAGGGTTTTCATTCGGATTACTGAGGTTTCCGATTTCGAAAACGACTGTGCTGATGGCCTCCAATTTTTGCATATAACTGTTGTATTCGGGCGACACAAATGCCTCCTCAATAACAATCGAATTTACTTCACCATCAGTAATAGGGCATTACTGCACATCACTGTGTTTACTGTACATTTTTTCTCAGCGAATGGAAGCGAATGTTGCGTTGTGTTTTTGATCTGCTATATTTCGGGTTAATAATTTGCCTTTATAGTTCAAGTAAGTTTTTCTGGAACTGTAGACTTATGAACATATCCATTTTGTGCGATAAACCTTCCTCTTTTTTGTAACAAATTTACATGACAGGACATTTTTATAACCGGCTGATCGCAACTCCACGGTGTGGAACTAGAGCTGTTCAAACAATAATTCTCAGTTGGTTTTGGGATTACAGACACAAGACATCCCCCAGATTAAAACGAACATATGGTCAAGTGCTTCTATGCAAATTTTGGTGCTGCTCTTGAATTGTTGCCCATATCTAACTCAGGCTGGAACGCACCGGACAGGCCCGTATGATCATATGTTTTTACACCGGGCTTGAAGTACTCAGGTCATTAACAGCATGAATGGCTGTTGCTTTACACCTACCTTTTGCGGTCACCAACATAAATCACCATAAATTTTGCAAAGTAAATGTACAATTTCCATTTAGCGGTCGTTTTTTTAAAAGTGACCTAGCGCTGTTCAGTGAAAAATTGTTCCGCCAAAACTTTTAAATGCCCGTATGTAAGAATTACGCACTGAATTTTAAATATTTGAGTTGTACTTGGACAGGGAACATCTCCAAAATTTCAGCTTTCCAGCTTTCCTGGTTACCGAGTTAGCAGTTTTCTCGCCAGAACTTTCACATGCCCGTACGTAGGTAATCAACGTGCCTGGGAAGTTAAATTTGAAATTTTTAAATTGCACGTTGACAGGGAAGACACCCCTCCCCCCCCGTCCCTAAAATTTCAGCCTCCAAGCTTTTCTGGTAGCCGAGTTAACAATTCACCCGCCAAATCTTTCACATGCTTGTACATAAGAACCACGCATAGCTGAGGGCTGGATTTAAAATATTTGAGTTATATTTGGACAGGGGACATTCCCCCAAAATTTCAGTTTTCCATCGTTTCTGGTTACTAAGTTAGCAATTTTCCTGCTAAAACTTTTATACGCCTTTACATGAGTACCACGCATACCTGGGGCTGAATTTGAAAACTTTAGCTAATAAATGCACAGGGAATATCCCTACAAAGTTTCACCTCCCTTAGCTTGTGTGGTTCCTGAGATCGCTTTCCCGCCAAAAAATTTGCATACTTTTTTAAAGCGCCCGTACGCAGCATCCGGGCGCTTGCGGGAGATGAAATTAAACGGGAGGATCGTGCATGGTATGGGCACATATCCCAAAGTCTCAGCCTTCTAGCTTTTCTGGCTCTCGAGTTGAAAGTGGGTAACAAAAAGTGCGAACACGCACACACAGCCTCTTCCCAGTATGCGTTTTTGCAATTTGCATATGCGCAAAAACACATAAAAATTGGTTGTGAATTGACCAAGCATAAGAAAACGTAAACATAAAGAATACTGCATGACAGTTATCTGTACCTGCAAAAATCGAAAAGACGTTGCCGGCAAACCCTCAAGACATTGTGCCTCGGACGGTTTGGAACACCGGGGTGTTCTCTAGATTTTATTTCAATTAGGAGAGGCCATCTTACTTCTCAGTTCTAGTTTATAAAATTTCACTACTGCAAGTGTCAGTGAGATCAACTATGATATTGAAAGTGCTCCGCCCAGACTGCGAAAGCTCGATAGATCCAGAATTCGAACTTGAATTGCACTACAAAAATGGAGGAAGTTGTAACAACTAAAGCCTAATGCCAACCATCGAAGCGTGCAGTCTGTGAGTATGGGCATGATAAGGAAACATGTTGAACGTAGTAACTTCAGGCCGTTCTCTGTAGGCATGCCCTTCATGACAGTACCTTTAGTAGGCCGAACGAAATATATTAAACTACTGGCTTAACTCAACACGTCCTGGCAAACAGTAAATCTTTGCATGTCAAACTTTTATCACGTTCAAAATGAACGGAATGAGTTTAATTTTCAGTAAGGATCAAGTCAATACTAGAATTACAGCAAATTTTCAATAAACGAAGTATATCGCCCTCAAAGGTTAAGTTTTTTGCTTTCGTGCCCTGGGCACTGACGTTTGTTTCTGAGCAAGTAGGAAATTACCAGCGCAGTGCTTTGAACCCTGACAAAAAATTTTTGCTGTCAGCCTTTCGAAACTAATAGCTTCTTAAGTGTGTAAATTTATTCACTTCCTGCAAAATAAAACGAAGTTTGCTTCGGCTATTCCAACGCAAGCACGGAGCTCAGCGAGCGGGGCTGTTGGAAACCCAGCCCAGCCCCTCCAGGTTCATCATTAAATTCACATCGGTTTGTGCGCTGCGACCAAGTTTAGCAATCTCCTTCATCTCTTTTCTCTGCGCCGTCAGGTCTCCGGACATCTTGACCAAAAATACCATAACATTCTTTACGTTTTCGTAACAACGAGACACTCGATATGTGCAAGCTTCAATGTCTTTCTCGGAACCGAGCCGGTCCACACAGCGGATTAGCTTATCGATGTTGAGTAACAGGTCGCCCTGTGCAAGTGACTGGTAATTCAGGACTTTAATCACGAAGAAGCGCATCTGCTTGAGCTGCGTGTTCTGGCGCTCCTCTATGCGCTGAATGGTTTCTCCCCACCACGACACGTCACTGTAAATCGCCAGGAGCGCCTTGAATTGCTTGGCGCGGTTTAGATGTGCGGTCATCTCAATGCGTTCGTCGCGAAGCATTTTTTCGATAGTTGATAACATTTTTTCATAGATACGCCAGCCGCGGCTCAACACTCTTTTCAACTGCTTAACCTTTTCGCTGTTGCTTTTTTGCTGCTCCTGGACGCTGGGATTTTTCGACTGTTCCTCCTGGGCGTCTGGATTTTCCGACTGCTGTTTCTGGAAGTTTGGATTTTTCGGCTGCTGTCCGTCCTTTTGCAGCAGCTGCAACCACATCTTCTCCTCTTTCGCAGCCTGTTCGTCGCTCTTTGGACCAGGGCGTTCAAGCAACTGCTGACCCACATCGATGGCGCCTTCACTGATCAGCTTCCATAACGGTTCGACGAGAAGAAAGCCAACTCCGGTTACTTCGAGCGGATCTTTCGAATACAGACTCACTTGCCAGATATGCAGCGCCCATGTCATCGCAACTGAAACAAGGTACTTCGTTATCGACAGCGACTAGGGTTCTTTGCCGCATGACAGCGGCTTGTACGGCACAGCACTTGCGCGCTTCCTCCATCGCGAGAGAAGGAGTCTAGCTGACACGTACTCTGGAACACAAGCAAGGAAAAGACACAAGTCGCTATTCGCTTAAAGCAAACAAAACATGCCACAAAATTAACTTGCCATGAGGAACTCCAGCAGTGCAAAAAAGGCTTGTACTAGACTGTTTGCAAGGCTAACCATGACTGCATGTGAACAACGAATGCGACGGCAGTGCACGCAGCAGAATTTTCATTGTTGCAGTGGTAAATATAAAAAATCGTTGGTCACTGCGCTCAATCTGAAATTCATGAGAAAGGGTGCGCGAGAGTGAATGAACACGACAGCGCCCAGTCACTCTCGCCGGACGCATTCCTCGCAGATATAATTTTTTTTTACTTCAAAAAAGTAAGTGATCAAGAAATCGGATGAAAACGAGCAGCAAACCTTATGCATATAGAGACTGACTGGACAGTTGTTCGAATTCGGGTAATTGCATTGAGCCTTCAATAAAACTCAATAAACAATACAGACGAACAGGGCCCTAGCAGGAACTCTCTTCCAGAAAAACTACTAGCACTGTTCTAACCTGTTTCTTTGATATTAAGGAAGGTGAAAGGGAATCACCCGGGTGCACAAAGAAATGGCCTTCAACACGCTATGAACCGAACTAAGTCACGGCCATTCGTTAGGCGAGTCAGTCCGTCTACGGACTGTTGATAACATAGGCAAATTGAATCTATGCTTGTTATGTAACGCTTCATAGTCACAACAGGATGCAGAGGTGCAAAGAGATTTACGGCATTTAAAAGCCCCATGATCCTCAGTCAGAGCCGCTGCTAGACTCTCAAAATTTGGTGCAAATAATGCTACAGGAACTTCAGCTCAAGCGCAAAACATTGAAAAGCAGGTGGGAGGGAAGTCTGAAGCGGTACCATTGCAACCGGCACGGTACAGTTGCTCAAAAGCGAATACTTCAGTTCGTCAAGCGGATTTCCATAAAAACCGGGATTTTTTCGCAATATAGCGATCCTAAACATGTCAGAAGTGAAACTGAATTCATCGTTAAGAAATAGGCTGGAAAGCTTCGCGCACAAATTTCACTTTCAGTGAATTTGGTCGGTGTAATTTCAAATATGCGTTTTAAAAATGCTCATGTTTGGAGACTGTTGCGGCCGAAGGCAAGTGCCCAGTTGCCATACCCATAGAACAGTTGTTATGCAATATCCGTAATGCTTCGCTCTAACTTGTGCTCCAGAATAGCTCCTTTCATATGTCTTTGTGCTATATGATGACTTTTTGATGCTTCCCACGAAAAGTGACCGGTGTTCGGTGACATGATGGAGTGGTAAGACAAATCGAGATTGTCTTCACTTTTTTTACAGCTATTATTAAGCCGTGAAAATGTTATGCTACTTTTTCCAGCTATCTCCGATAAAATAAAATTTGTATAACTTACACAGCTTTTCCCAAAATGCCGAAAATCATGACACTGCCGCGAGCCACGGCAACGACAACATTGGGCATTTCTTCATTATTTCCGATATGCAGCTGCGAGCACTGCTTGTAAATTTTAACGAGTGTTTCACCAAGAAAACCGGAAAACTGAAAAATGTAAATTTTAATCTACAAAGGCGAGGAAGATAAGTGCAAATGCAGAAAGATGAAAATAGTGCGGAAAGATGCGCGTTAGGCTTTTTTCCAACTCAGCTGTTTTGTCAGGGCGCACTTTTTTCATGTGGCATTGCAGTTTTAGACGCGCTCTGACCACTGGACACCCCTCGCTCTGAGCCAAATATCGACCGAACCGAATATACAAAACCGTTACAGTTTATATGTATATATGTCGCAAAATACGTCGTAAAATCTACCACAAGACGAACCTGTATGTCGTTTCCAACATCATTGATGGGATGATCGTCATATGTTCGATCAAATGGCAGAATCTGCATACGGATGTTATCAATTATTGACTGTGCAGTGATCTTCTTCAACGAGGATTCCACCAAGGCATACAAACGCACCGTTTGGCCCATACGTTCGTCACTGTAAATGCGTCAAAGAAACATTTCGCGGGCGCATCACCCGAAAAGTAATGGCTCTCGACGCATTTTTTGCGGATTTTTACTTCGGATTATTGACAGCCGACAGTCCTGAACAGTATTTTGCTCTTTGCAGCCTAGTCTTTCAAGTTCGGTGTTTACTAGCTAACTGTCAGCCCACTAGTCGAATTCGCATTTTACTATTAGTTTCCGGGAGCCTCAATAATTATTCGTCTTGCATGCAAGCACTTCAGTGCCAGTTCTAACATATCCTCCTTGGTCCTCACTGGTGAGCATTCTCAAGTCTATTTCGAATCAGGCCGTTATTAAAAATTCATAACGATGCTAGTATTCAACAAAATCCAGTACAGCCTGCCCAGGTCAATCGAAAACATTGAATGCAACCCGGTTACGCTTGCAATCGAATTTGGCCACGCCAGTGCTGTATAACTTGCAAAAAGCAGGACAGACAGGAGAAGAATTGCTGGGTTATGCGCTTTCACAATAAGTTGCAGGCTTCCAGTGGATGAGAGCACGAGAATATGCAGGACTATTTCTCCTTTTTCATACTACTTTTGTTTAATCCATTGGTAGAAACAGACGCAGCAAAATTCCAAATCCCAATTTTCCATTCTAGGCTTACAATACCATTTTGCTTTTGAACGTGAGATCATCGGTCAGAAAACCGAGAATATTTCTCATTTCTGGATATGCATGTAGTCAAAGACTGGACTTCCCAAATTCAACTCTTTAGTTTCCGCAGTCTGGAGCCGAAAATTCCAACAGACACAGACAGACGCACACAAACGATAGGTCTCTGCATAATGCATTTTTAATTTTTATACGTGTGAAGCGCAAAAAACTCAGAAGTCTCGACAGCTTAACAACTGCAGGAAAAATTCCAGCAAAAATACCCTTATTATGGATTCTATAAAAAAAACGAAGCGCAAAATCGGACTGTGAAATGTAATTGCTTTTTATGTGTTGTTTGCATCCATACAATGAAAAACACATTTTGTCGAGAGGTTGTCTGTATGTGTGTCTGTATCAAATTTTCATCTTGATACCTACAAAAGCTACATGGTGAGACTTCGACAACTTACTCTACACGCACGTACGAGTCCCTATCCTAAAAATAGTTACCCATTTCCTCTCAAAATTCATGTGGTACTCACATAGCCCATTTCTATGTGATACTCACGTACGGACACGTGAAAGTTTTGGCAGGGGAATGCTAACTCGGGAAATTTTTGGCAGAGGAGTGGTATCTTCGCACCAGCAGTTGGTGAGCTGGCCAATTACTGTAGATGTGCAATGAGCCGTTGTTTAATGCACAACAGCTTTGAATCTGGAAAACATACACATCATGGATGTATCGCACTTGAACCCATCTGCCTGCAGCACGTTCCTCTGGCTGTTGTGGACTCTAAAAAAATGAGTGATTTACCAAGAGCTCATTAACGGTGTTCCTTTCACGTTGGTGCCTGCTCTATATCAGCCCAACCCGTCCTCCCTGAATTTCCGATTGCTGCAGGGTTGCGAATGACCTGTTAAGCCATCAAGGAGATGAATCCTTTATGCTTGATGTGCCAGCTCTGCTCACACAACCCGTTCAAGATGTGGGAAAATTCTTGCGTATCATCTTTGCAGTTAGCGATTTCGATCACTTATATTTTGCATCAAACAATATGGTAAATCTATTCGTTCTTGAGAAGCGTATGCAAGCCTCTGTAATAACCACCCAAACCGTAGCGGACTCTCTCGAAAGGATGTACAGAACTCTCCAAAACTGATTCGATAATGAAATTTAGCGTTGCAATTTGCATTCCACCTAAAATTTTTTTCATTCGGCCAGAGATAAATTTCGGCAAAATAAGCTGTGGGAAGTATCAGTTCTCTCAGCTTATTTTCCCGGAATTATTCATATCCTTCCTCCGCTTGTTTGCAGAATTATGTAAAGAAGCTTGTTGACAGCAGGCCGGTTTTTTGCCTTCTGCTATCACTGTCTTTCAGTGTTAAGGGCAACAGATGATTATTGACCAAAGAGGGCTTTAGTATTCCTAACAACTTTACTGCGGGGTCTAGAATTCTTATAATTTTATTCTTATTTGTATTCTGGCAGCTTTTCAAGAAATTGGGCGTAACCAGTGCCGATGGAGTTTTTTGAACCTTGGCTTTCGATAGCTTCTATAAAGCGCTGAAGTACGAACTGTTTCAGCTTGTCATGATGTAGTGCTGCTTTTCGTATTCTTTTTTCTCTTTTAGAATCGATTCTGATCTTTACCTTCACAGACGATGGTCGTACTTGATGTTTAGGATCGACTCAAGAAAATGCCAAATTTTTACGCTTTGTAAATGCCAAATTTTTCATTATAGATAGTAAACGTGGGATGAATCCGGTGATACAGAAGATAAGTCCTCGATATAAGGGAATGAGAATGAAATTCAACGCATCCAAAGCGGAGGCGAGCAGAATGTACGATGTGCTCACTCTTCTGGCACTAGAGCTCAAAACAATGAAAAATGGTCAGTTACGAAAGTGGACGAAAAAATGCACCCTGTGACAAGATTGGAGAAGATTGTTATTCGAATTGAGCGCATGATTATTTTGTCCGGTCAGCTGAATGTCCCACTCTGCACTTACTTTGTTCTGACGGCTTTTTGGGAAAAAAGATTCTGTGGTGAACAACTTCCGCTAGTTGCTGGTGTTTAATGGGAAACTGGTCCGGTTCCTTTCGCAAGATAAAATTTAAATTTACTGCTATGCGTCACACTCAATCCACCACCTGGCGAGATTCGATTAAAAGGGTAAAGTGCAACATGGATTTCGGACCTCTCGGAACTACTCAAATCGTTTCTTGAATGTATTAATGCTTCAGAGTGTGCGCCACAGGTTGGGTATAGTCTTAAAATCTCTCTTGTAGTTCAGCACAGCAACACTACAGTGAGGTGCCTGCATCCTGACTGTTTTGCGATAGGAAGGAAGTACAGGTTGTTTAGACGAAAACACTGTTTCTGCTTCTTAGAAAGGCTGCAAGCGTTCCAGTCCATTGTACGACGGAGTTAGAAAAAAAAAAGAAAATGTCAGATTTAGCTGGCCTGTAGCAGGCAATGTGTAGCAAACGGGCATTTGCTATAAGAGAGCATTGTAGTCACGCCGACGACTACAGTGACAATTTCGTCTTACAAGTAGCTTGATGAGAATTATGCACCTTAAGAATGGACACAATTTGCATAAAATGTAAAAATGACATTCCCGATTGCGCAGTATTTTCTCATTACACCAATATGCGCGATTTTCTTATGCCCTTGTATACATGCATTTTTGCATGAGACAACCCAAGTAACAACACACACTAGCATGCACTTTTGCGTTATACTTAAAACAATTAGATAGTTAATTACATTTGCTGCTTTACAGTCTAACGTATGCGATAGTGTTGGCAATGTTTTAGGTGTTTCCTGCATGCACAGAAATCCAGGCTGGAACACACCAGGCGGGCCGGAGCGATTATGCGTTTTTGCACTTCTCGTGCCGTAGCGAGATCGCAAGGAATCACAGTAGCTAACCCT